GACAAATATGTCAGACAAAACACTGATGCAGTGTTTCTGCCAGACCAGGGCTGAGAGGGCGTCCACCCCGAGATATAGATACTCTTTACGTTAGTGAGCCGGATCATTTGACTCGGCGAGCGCCAGCTGTTTCGCCTCCCAAACGGCTCTTCATGTTACCACAGTTTACCACGGAGCCTCAGTTTCGCCGCTGCCAGGCTCCGGCGCTCGCAGTTCACGCACGTGCTCCACTAGCACCGCCCCCCCACCCTCATCGCGTCCAAATCGCGCACGTTCCGTTTTGTGCAGTGTGAGGCACCACCGATGTCGGGGAAACGATCTTCAATACTCCGAAAAGAATCCCACCAGACTCCTTTGCCGCTCCAACAGAGGGATGTCCTTGTCCTTTGTCCTTTTGGTCAATTCAAGCGATAAAAACTCTCGATCTTCTCTAGAATTATAAACATTATTGGATGCCCTCGGCTCGAGTTCAGGACGTCCCGAGCTGAATAAGGGCGTCAAATGACGGCAAGATGCCCCCTGGCGGAAACGCTGCACTGATGATTGCTAAACACTTTTTTTTCAGCAGAAAAGGTAATGCTTATTTGCTCTCAATGCATGGACACGAAGACCTGAAAGGGAACCCTAAAAATAATCATTTCAATTTAAAAAATAATCAAAAAATCTAACTTATTTTACCTGAATCATGTCTATGAAGTCAAATGTCTTCATGTCTCCTTTTGCTTTGACTTGCCTCTCATAGTCCTCACTGTGACTTTGAGGGCACAGAAGTTAGTTTTATGATTCAAAACAAACGTTATGAGTAAGCCAATAAAATGGATAACCTATAACATTATGTGATAAACCCTTGATTACTCAAGCCTTGATTCAGAGGGCACAGATGTTCGAGAGAAGTCTAAAGCCGCTTTCACACTGCAGGACTTGCCGTACTTTAGTGCCGGCACTAAAGTACCACGGCACGGAATCCGCCAGGGGGCTAGTGCCAATCGCATTCACACCGCAGTACTTTCCCTGAGACAAGATTACGCTGACGTCACTTCGTCTTCTTCTTCTCTGGGTTTACTGGCAGGCCGCAAAACCACTTCACGGCGAGTACAAAAAAAAACGAGAGAAGAACTACAAGGGGGAGGGGGTATAAAGCCCACCCGTTGTACATTATATAATAGGTAGGCTCAGCAGACAGACCGTAGTGCAAAGATAAAGTGTCACATGATGATCTACTAAATAGTGAATTCGGCATCAACTTCACCAAGATGAAGTTCATATCTTCCTAAGATACGTGTTACTTTATGTCCCTACTAGAATCCGAGCTCAAATGACTCAAACCAACAAAAGGTCCAAGCAAAGAATCATGTGCACCATGAGGCTGGGTTATAAGGGTCATTTACAAATAAAATACCCATTATAACAATGGACTCTATCTTTATGTATTTATTATAT